AACGAAATAATGCCATTTGCAGAGACATGGATGGAGCCAGATATTGTCATACAGAGTGAAGTCAGTCAGAAAGAGAAAGACAAATATTGTATAATATTGCTTATATGTGGAATTTAGAAAAATGGTTCAGATGAACTTATTTGCAAAGCAGAAATAGAGTCATGGATTAGAAAATAAACTTATGGTTACTAAGGGTGGACAAGGGGGTGGGATGAACTGGGAGCATGGGATTGACATAAACATACTACTATTTATAAAATAGATAACTAATGAGAACCTACTGTATAGCACAGGGAACTCTACTCAGTGCTCTGTGGTGACCTAAATGGGAAGGAAACCTAAAAAAGAGTGGATATATGTATATGTATAACTGATTCACTTTGCTGTACACTTTGCTTTACAACATTGTAAAGCAACTATACTACAATAAAATAATTTTTTTAAAGGGGCATTATATAATGATAAAGGGATCAGTACAAGAAGAGGATATTATACTTGTTAACATACATGCACCCAATACAGGAACACCTAAATAATCAATTTTTATTTATTCCAGGGTCACAAGGATGGCTCAACATACACAAATCAGTCAATATGATACACATTAACAAAAGACAAGACAAAAACCAAATGATCATCTCAATAGATGCTGAAAAAGCATTTGACAAAATTCAACATCCATTCATGATAAAAACCCTCATCAGGGCTTCCCTGGTGGCACAGTGGTTGAGAGTCCGCCTGCCGATGCAGGGGACGCGGGCTCGTGCCCTGGTCCGGGAGGATCCCACATGCAGCGGAGTGGCTGGGCCCGTGAGCCATGGCCGCTGAGCCTGTGCGTCCGGAGCCTGTGCTCCGCAATGGGAGAGGCCACAACAGTGAGAGGCCCACGTACCGCAAAAACAAACAAACAAAAAAAACCCTCATCAAAGTGAGTATGGAGGGAACATATCTCAACATAATAAAGGACATTTACAACAAATCCACAGCCAACATAATACTCAACAGTGAAAAGGTGAAACCCTGCTAAATTCAGGAATAAGACAAAGATGCCCACTCTCATCACTTCTATTGGAAGTCCTAGCCACAGCAACAAGACAAGAAAAAGAAATAAAATGTATCTAAATTGGAAGGGAAGAGGTAAAACTGTCTCTGTTTGCAGATGACATGATACTCTATATAAAGAGCCCTATATAAACTTTCCACCGAAAACTATTAGAATAAATGAAACCAGCAAGATTGTAAGATACAAGATACAGGTTTAACCCTCCTGGACTTCAGACTATACTACAAAGCTACAGTAATGAAAACAGCATGGTACTGTCACAAAAACAGACACATGATCAATGGAACAGAATACAGAGCCCATGCACCAATGGTCAATTACTCTATGACAAAGGAGGCAAGAATATACAATAGAGAAAAAACAGTGTCTTCAACCAGTCGTGCTGGAAGAACTGGAAAGCCATAGGTAAAACAATGAGATAAGAATATTCCCTCACACAATATACAAAAATAAACTCAAAATGGTTTAAACACCTAAACGTAAGACCCGAAACCATAAAACTCCTAAAAGAGAACATAGGTGGAACATTTTTACATAAGTTGCAACAATATTTTCTTGGATCAGTCTTCTAGGGCAAATAAATAAAAGCAAAAATAAACAAATGGGGCCTAATTAAACTTTAAAGCTGTTGCACTGCAAAGGAAACCATCGACAAAATAAAAACACAACCTACAGAATGGAAGAAAATACTTGCAAATGATGCAACTGACAAGGGGTTAATATCCAAAATGTACAAAGAGCTCTTACCACTCAACATCAAAAAACAACCTGGGCTTCCCTGGTGGCACAGTGGTTAAGAATCCGCCTGCCAATGCAGGGGACACGAGTTCAAGCCCTGGTCCAGAAAGATCCCACATGCCACAGAGCAACTAAGCCCGTGCGCCACAACTACTGAGCCTATGCTCTAGAGCCCACTAGCCACAACCACTGAAGCCCGCGCACCTAGAGCCTGTGCTCCGCAACAAGAGAAGCCACCACAATGAGAAGCCCGCTCACCACGACGAAGAGTAGCCCCCACTCACAGCAACTAGAGAAAGCCTGCACGCAGCAACAAAGACCCGATGCAGCCAAAAGTAAATAAACTAAATAAATTTAAAAAAAAAAAAAAACCCAACAACCCAATCAAAATATGGGCAGAAGACCTGAATAGACATCTTTCTAAAGAAGACATACAGATGGCTAACAGGCACATGAAAAAATGCTGAACATTGCTAATTATTAGAAAAATGCAAATCAAAACCACAATGAGGTATCACCTCACACCTGTCAGAATGGCTATCATCAAAAAGTCTACAAATAACAAATGTTGCCAGGGATGTAGAGAAAAGGGAACCCTCCTACACTGTTGGTGGGAATGTAAATTGGTGTAACCACTATGAAAAACAGTATGGAGGCTCCTTAAAAAACTAAAAATAGAACTACCATATGATCCACTCCTGTGTACGGTCTCTGGAAAAAATGAAAACACTAATTCGAAAAGATACATCCACCCCAACGTTCACAGCAGCACTATTTACAATAGCCGAGATATGAAAGCAAGCCAAGTGCCCATCAACAGATGACTGGATTAAGATGTGTAGTATATATATGCAATACGTTAGCCATAAAAATGAATGAAATACTGCCATTTGCAGCAACATGGATGGACTTAGAGAATATTATGCTTAGTGAAATAAGTGAAACAGAGAAAGACAAATACTGTATAGTATCACTTGTACATGGAATATAAAATATAATACAAATGAAGGTATATGCAATAAAAGAAACATGCACAGATGTAGAAAACAAACTTGTGGGTACCAAAGGGGAAAGGAAAGGGGGGGAGGGCCAAACTAGGGGTATGGGATTAACAGATACAAACTACTACATATAAAATAGATGAGCAACAAGGATACACTGTATAGCACATGGAATTATACCCATTATCTTGTAATAATCTATAATGGAGTATAATCTGCAAAAATACTGTACCACCATGCTGCACACCTGAAACTAACACAATATTGGTAAATCGAGTATACTGCAATTAAAAAAATAATAATAATCCATTTGGTGCTGATTTCCAGCCTGACTTGAGGCTCCGCCACTACCAACCTGGAACTGCCACAGATGTGAGATTTCCTCAGCTGTCACTGTGGCCTGGATAATCAATCCAACTTTCTATTGGCTAGGCTAGCCTCCCTGTAACTGGTTTTCATAAATACAAAATTTGTATAATTGTTACTGGAACTACTTGCTGAAATATGGAACTTGTTAAAAGTACCATTTAAAATGTACATGCACAGTTTCACATACAAGCAGCAGCACATCTTTCACATCCAGCCAATCAATCAAGTTAATGCTTCGTATTAGAGAACGGAACAAAAAATGCAGATATTCCACTACAGAGTTTGCCTTTCTTTTCTGGGGCCTTAGTAAACGTTTTTCAAGAAATCAAGAGGTATATGACTAAATAATGAAAAGAATGAATTAAAATGTATAATATACCAAGGTATAATTTAGCTCAACTCTAAAGAAGCAGGAACTAACTTTTACTCTGGGGGAAAGAGGCCTTTGATATAACTAGGAAAAGCAAATTCTTTTTTGATGCAGTCTTTCTTGTACACGTATATGAGTAATGTATATGAGGGCTTATTTCCCTGTGAATCTGGCACAGTACATTAGATTGAAACATCAATTTGATTTAAGCTTAATGGATAAAGTCACAATGAATATATTTTTATATAAGTTTATGTATAAATGACCCCAATACACAGTGTGAATTCTATCATTTGTAACAACCTTTCCACCTCTCATGAGGGGAGTAATGAAAATCTGTTCTGAGCTGCACATCACTAAAGGTGAGTGACATCCAGAAAGAACTGAAGTTGGGTGGTCCAAAAGTGCCTGCTCATCTGATAAATAATTCAGTAACATGTCAGTTAAGATGCATTAAATGGGACACAGGTTAGAATGAAACCAGGTGCCCGGGAGCTTTCCAACTATTTCAGATTAGGACAAACGTAGAGGCACATACAGGTCTTTGCTGAAAATTCCTTGGCCTTTATTTGACATTCTGGTCCCAAATTGCTGATGTTTTAAAAACTCCAAATCTTTTTCCCCCTCCCGACTTTTCTAGCCCATACAACATGACCACAGAGGGTTCATGGTAGTAAACGCGCCCACGTAAAAAAATTCGAAAAAAGCAAGCTAAACAAACACAACCCCCGACCCCCCCCCAAAAATAACCTCTCAAAGGCTTTGGACGCTATTTGGCCTTTCATTCAAAAAAAGTGAGTTAGTGCGAGATGATCGCCCACCAGAACCCTCCTCCCCTCACAGCATGAAAAGCCCGCAGAGTACGAGGGGTAACAGCCCGCCCCGGGCTCCTCTAATTGGCCTCCCGCTCCCAGCGCCCTGAGGAAGAGGGGCGGTGCGGAGAGCATGTGGCCAGCTGTAAAGGGTGATGAATTTTAAAAGACGAGATTTTCACATCTCCCACGGATCCAGGGCGAAGAAATTCACCTTTGCTCCTGTCCTTTTAAGAAGACATAGCTAACCTAGGCTCAATGAACAGAGAGAAGCAAAACGCCAGCCCCCAGCTCCCACCGCTCTGGGGAACTCCCTTCCTTGAGACCCCACCCCCACCCCCACCCCACCCCCCCCAGGCTCACCCGACCCTCTGTCGGCTCCACCCCCTGGGCCTGCTCCGCCCTCTAACCACGCCCCTCGTCCGAGGCCCCGCCCCTACGGTTGGCGCCATCCCATCCCCTACCCACTCTCCTCAGTCCCTAAAGACAGCGCGAGCCCTGCTCACCCACCTAGAGGCGGGGAACGGAGAGAACGTTCTAGCGAGTCTCCCTCACCCCCACCCAACCCACACCCCCAGGCTGACGTGTCGGCCGGACCCCCGAAGGAGGCAGCTGCCTTCGCTGTCGTTCTGCGGCCTCTCTCTTACCAGCTGGTCCGCGCCAGAGCTGCTTCAGCAGTTTGGGCAGTGGCGAAAAGGCTGCCACCGCCCGGTTCTGTGGCTTTAAAATTTGACTTTGCCTCGTACTGGTTTTTTGTTTTGTTTTGACTTTTTTAGAACTTTCCCGCGGTCGCTCGTCAATGGAGCCGCGCGCGCACGTATCCGCAGTGCACTCTGGGGCCTGGCCAGCGGCTCCGCGCCCCCGCGGCCTCGCGGGAAAATTCCGACGAATCTCTTGCTCGTGGGGCGGGGCGGGGTAGGGGGCTCAGGCTCAACCGGAAGTCGGTCTGGCTGGGCGGGTTCCCCGGCGAGGGGGCCTGCTGGGGCTGCCTTAGATGTCACCGGCCTCTGGTTGGTGTCGCTGGCCCCAACTAGACCGCAGGAAGTACCTGGAGGGGAAAAACGCGGATTTTTTAATCGGTTGTTGCTCAGTTATTTCAAGATTCTGTTCAAAATGCAGAGAATTTTTAAAAGAAAAATTGAGTCTTTGTCAAGAAGGTAAAACCTCGAAAGAAGGCCTAGAATATGATTTTCTAAGTGTGGTCACACACAAAAAAGGGATCTTTCTCGGGTTGATGCCCCTCACCACCACCAAAATCAGTTCTATACACTGTTTGATTGGGGTTCAAATCAGTTCTACGCTGCATTTAAACCTAAGTGGTTTAAATAAATAAATGGAAAACAGCATTTTTAATAAACTTCCATTAATGTCATTAGTATTAGAGTGTCTTGGTGGATTTTTTAATTTTAATTCTTGAACTTAGTAATACACGAAGGTTTTTCACAGATGTTTAAATTTTTACAAAAAAATTTTTTGAGGAAACTACCTAACCTTAAGCCTTATTTTTTTTTTAAATCAATGACATAATTATAAAACTACAACTTAACAGGTGCTTTCAAAAAATTTACTACAAGGCAATGTACACACATAATAAAAATATTCAGACACCTCCAGCCTTCTATAATAAAAGAATATCCACTTTACCAAATACGCACTTTACCGAATAAATTGAATTCAGAGATTAGATAATCTATTAACGTTATACAGCTTGTAAGTGACAAAGTTAGTGTGTAGGGTAATGGTGACAACAGCAACAAAAATTTTTTTAATTAAAGGGAGATGCAAAAGGACCCAGACCTAGAATTTGAGACAAAATTGGCAGGATCTGTATCAAGAAGTAAGGTGTTAAATCTATTCTTGAAAATATTCCCTGCCAGCCAAAGAGGTCTCTGCTTGTTTGATGTGTGCATAGTTCAAGGTGAGTAAATCTAAAGCAGGGCTTGTGCAGAGAGACACATGCTTGAGTGATATTCATCATGGCACTTTGGCCATAAGAAGAAAGTCCCCTAATGTGACAAGTTTAACTTTTGTGTTTACCAGCAAAGGAAGCAATTAAACCATGTATTTCTTTAGAGAAAATATCTGTTTTGTTACTCAGGCCCTTTGAAGTATTTGCTGAAAAATCATTTCTAGTGTTTGTAGTGTTAATAACTGAGGTCTTGCCATTTTGTAGTTTTATGTCTTTTTAATTCAGTGGTTAATAAAGAGTTGCATGGCTCGTTACAGTATATGAAAGGACATCATATTTAAGCCTAATTTAGACCTAAATGGGTAGCGTGTATAGTATAAATTTCCAAATATAAATTTATGGGAATTTATAGACATTCATTTTATCTGGCATCCATATGTATGGAGCTATCCTAATACTTTAATACTGAGACGATCACTATAAAATGCCTGAAAAGTTTCTTGAGAAAAATACTTAGATATGAATCCTATTTTTAACTGCCTCATAAAGTTGAGTATGTGTGTTCTAGAAACAATTTTGGTTACAGTATAGAGTCAAATCACACAAATAATATGGCAAAAATGAAAAATGGCATGTGTAGGCAAAAATTATTTCATCCTTAGACACAATTCGAATTAGAATCTATTCTAATGGAATCCATCCTTTAGAATCTTTACATTCTGGAGAGAAGAAACACCACAGCTGCGTGCTGCAAGGCTACTGACATTAAATCTTCCTTTAAAATTCAACAAACAAATAGAATAAACTGTCTCGGATTCTAGCCGTTGTAGTAAGACTCATGTTTCCAGAGTTAGTCCAGACACCCACCTGGTTTCCGGCTCTCATATGGCACCCCAACACTTAACAGTATCTTGTCCTTGGCTCTAATATTTGCCGCTGGTACCTCAACTGTGAATATTTAATAAGTGTTTATTAAGTCCCAGGCACTAGGCTGATTATTTTCTTTAATTCTCACAGTGATCTTTTGTGGCAGACAATATTCCAGTTTCACAGATAAAGAAACTGATGCACAGAGCAATCTCAACTAATAGGTGTTATACCTTCAAATACAGGTAGATTGATTCTGGTGCTTCTTATTACTTGCCATTCTCTTGCTCTTGCCCCAGTCTGGGTACCAGACCACTTCCCAAGATTTTAGTGGGGCAGAAGTGGGGGAGGGATGATGTGACCCCAGAGGCTGTGCATGTTCATCACCGCACTGCTTTCCTCTTAAAACATTCTGACTGAGGAAATGAATGTTAAATTGCAGATGAAAACAGTAATAATAATGCTTGTGCACGAAATGCATCAAGAAATGGTGCAAGTAATAGTGAAAGTCTTTGATCTGCCACGCTGATGGCGGAAAGGCACCTGAGGTCAGGAAACAGGGCTGCCAGAGGTGGAAAATAACAGAAAAAGGGAAATGTATTATAACTGTTGCATGGTACTGCCACCCTCCCCCAACATGCTCATTCTCTAGGCTCTGTTGAAAGAATGAACCTTAGGAAAATATATTTGTACTAATCACCCAGCTCCCTGCCACAACGACTTGAATCAGAAATAGTAACCTGATCCCCACTGAACCAGTCAAACTGTTGCTGGGGAATTTGAAATCGCAGCGCTGGGACTGACTGTACCACCCCTACATCACAGAAGCCAAACCCCATGCCAACCAAAGACACTGGGGGAAGAAAAAATATAAGTAGCAAACAAAGTTAGTTGGCAGAGAATGTTGAAAGACCATGTTATTCCATGAGAGATAGAGGGTAGTTACCATTCCCAACTTTCCATTTTTAATCCCAATTTTAAGGCAAACTGACTAGCTTATTTTTCTGTTCTTAGTTGTCGGTGAGATTCCCTTGCATCATTGCAACAATCACTCCTTCACTTATTCTGACTTCAGTGAGTTTCTCTCCCTTACTGCAAAGCAAGCCCTGACTAAGGACCTGGCAGTGGCAGCTCTTCTTTGTGTTACTGGGCATTAGCACTTTGGATAAAACCTACTTGATAAATTAATCAATGGATACCTCATGAGAACCTCCCAAGCAGAAGGCATGAAGCATATAGGCTGCATTGAAAACACAGATCCATCTGAGTATATTGGAGTTTGGAGAAATCTCACAGCTCACCTATATAGTCCAGGAGTTCCCTGTATGTGGGCCAGTAAAGTGTCAATAATATTAGAAGACTAACAGAGTTAACTGTTTATTAGGTGGAATAAAGACTGGAGAGCAAGGGGGAATCTACCATCATTTCACTTTTTTAGTAACATTTTTGACTTTCAGAAAAGATGGGAAGGAGTCTCAAAGAACAGTCTTATAAACTGAATAAATTTTGCTTCACGAAAAACTCATTAGATTGTCCTTATTAACCTTGTTTTACCACTTCCTCTTTCCTTGTTAGTATGAGAACACTGCTTTTACTTAGCATGGCAATGTGCCCAATAAAAAAGACTACATTTCCCAGACTCCCTTGCTATTGGGGTGGCCACGTAAGGAGGTTGTAGCCAGTGAGAGAGAAGTGGAATCTGTCGGGTAGGACTCTCAGAGAGGTTTCTGGAAAGGCCGAAAGACAATAGACAAGGAGCTTTTTAGCCCTTTCCCTCTTTCTCTTTTTTCCTGCTGGTGGTCCAGTCACCTTGGACCATAAAGTACCTCAAGGACAATGGTCATGGAATACGGACGGCAGAACAAAGGAAATAAAAGGACCCTGGGTCCCCAGTAATCATGGGAGTCAACTGGTTTTCCTAACTCTGGACTTCTTTTATTTTTTAAATATATTTATTTATTTATTTATGGATGCGTTGGGTCTTTGTTGCTGCACGCGGGCTTTCCCTAGTTGTGGCGAGCAGGGGTTACTCTTCGTTGAGATGCGCGGCCTTCTCACTGCAGGAGCTCATCTTGTTGCAGAGCACGGGCTCCAGGAACGCGGGCTTCAGTAGTTGTGGCATGTGGGCTCAGTAGTTGTGGCTCGCGGGTTGTAGAGCACAGGCTCAGTAGTTGTGGCACATGGGCTTAGCTGCTCTGCGGCATGTGGGATCTTCCTGGACCAGGACTTGAACCCGCGTCCCCTGCATTGGCAGGCGGATTCTTAACCACTGTGCCACCAGGGAAGTCCTGGACTTCTTTTAGAACAAACAAAAATAAATCTGTTTTGTTTCTAAAATAACTACTGTTATTTTTTTTTTAACATCTTTATTGGAGTATAATTGCTTTACAATGGTGTGTTAGTTTCTGCTTTATAACAAAGTGAATCAGCTATACATATACATATATCCCCATATCTCCTCCCTCTTGTGTCTCCCTCCCTCCCACCCTCCCTATCCCACTACTGTTACTTTAGGTCTTTCTTGCTAGCAGCTGAACTCAGCTGAGGCACTATAGTAGGATCTGAGGTTACTGTGATGAAAAAAATAAAAGAAAGAGAAAAAATACATATCCTCTGCCCTTGTGAAGCTTAGTCTAGTGAAGGGGATCGTCCTTTAATTAATCAACATCTTCTCTGCCAGTAGCATAGATGTTGTCAAAATGAGATAAACTCAAGACACTAGCACGTTTCATTCAAAAAAGGGGGTGGGGGGTCCTAAACCACCTCAAGAGACAGGAAGGCAGGAGACTCTTACCCACTTACTAAAATCCTATAAATGTCGTAGAATGGAGAAACAACTTTATCATTTCGCAATCTCTGACAGAGAATCCCCAGAAAACAAAAGTTTTTTCTTTTTCCATTGATCAATGATATACCCTTTTTGGAAAAAAAAAAAAAAGAATAAGAAAAATATATATATATATAAGGGCAGTTTTCATCTGATTTTCTTTAGTTCAGTAAAAAATGCATTCCTATTTAGAGCATGCATTCCCACTAATCATGGTGTGTTGTAACTAACATAGCACATTTTTATTGCC